CTCCCGATATTCGGTATTTTGATGATTTTAGCGACATTATTCATCGGAATTGTTTCAAATTTAATATTTGAAATTCGAAATGGATACTACAGCCTAAGACAGAAAATTGTCTGTGCAGGTCCACGTCTTTGTATAGCCCCCATATAACGGTACCTCCCGATATTCGGTATTTTGATGATTTTAGCGACATTATTTACCGGAATTGTTTCAAATTTGGTATTTGATATTCTTAATGGATACTACAGTCTAAGACAGAACATTGTCTATGCAGGTCCACGTCTTCGTATAGCCCCCATATAACAGTACCTCCCAATATTCGGTATTTTGACGATTATAGGTACAATACTCGCCGAAATTGTTTGAGATGTCGTATTTGAAGTTCGTAATGTATGCTACAGCCTGCGACAGAAAATTGTCTATGTTCAGGTTTTCGTATAGCTCTGATATAACGGTACCTCCCTATATACGGTATTTTGATGAATTTAGCTACATTGTTTACCGTTGATTTCTAGTTTTGAATTTTAATATGGTAACGGCTTGTGACAAACAATGCGTATGTAGGTTCACGTCGTATAGACCCCAATATAACGGCTACATTCGCAATTTTTACGATTTTAACAGAATTTTTTACGGATTTTATTTTTTGAAAATTTCTAAATTCGTTCCAAATGGTGGAGAGAATTCAAAGTTTGGCCACCGAACTTACTGCTTTTTAACTTGTTTATTATAATCCCTATCGAAGTCCTAACATGCACTATACAGCAATGTTGTTTTGGTACAAGAGGTACAAAAGCCTCCGCCAATTTTGTCGAAAATCGTCTCAGAGTTGGATATAGTTTCCAAATTGTGACTATTCTAAATCCATAAGGTTGGAATGATCTACTTCACATACATTCCCAATATAAACTTTTTTTTTTGTTACGGGAGCTCTACTAAATACGCATGGTGGTGTAGGGTATCATATAGTCGTCCCCACCCAACTTTTGACCTTTCCTTACTGGTTTAATTATTATTTTAACTTATTTAACTTTGAATACAGGGGTCATTGAGCCCAATTCGTTGATTTTAAAAATGGCCTTTGAATTCCACCAAAAAAAAAAAAAAAAAAAACAAACAAACAATGTAAATATTTAAAATAAAATTTAATTCCTTTTTGGTGGTTTTTGTTTAGCATTTTTAACCACCCGGCCGCTATAAAACTCCAAAAACTATGAATACCCGGAGAATGGATGTGAGAATATTTCTATCCATTTTTTGTTGTTGTTGTGCGTTTTATATTTGTTTTTTGTTCGTTGTTGCAAAGAATTTAAATGAAGTGTGAATTTAAATGGGGCAATATTGAATGTGAGAAAGGATGAATTTGTTCTGTTGCTGATCTCTGTTTTTTCAGGAATTTTCTATGCATGAAAAAAAGGTGAGGGGGAAAATTGTAATAGTATATGTAGATATAACACTTTATATGCAGCTACAAAAAAATACAAAAACAAAACAAAAAAACGGCAACAAGAGATTTGCATGACCCAATTATGTACGGCATATAGTTGGTATTCTGCCTTTTTTTTGCTGTTGTACGTTTGAACCATTTTGTTTGGCTGGTGGCAGATCAATAATTGATAACATCTGTTGGTGTTTTTTTTTACACGGAGGTCACAAAAAACTATGCGATTTCTTTGGAAAATAGAGAGAGAGGGGGGGGGGTGTGCATCCCCTACCTCCCCCTTTTTCCAGGCGAAGCTGTAGGAGGTAGGCGTAGACTAACTAAAAACCGTATATAAGGTAACAATCAACAAATCGTAGATGTTTCATATTTCTTTTAATATTTCTTACAGATGAGGTCAAAACATTGCGGAGTTTAATTTGTAATTTTACATTTTAGAGGAAAAAGTTCAATGGCTCTGGAAAATTTAAAACAAAAATTTTGAAAGATTATGTGAATTTTTTGATGGCGCGCAGATTTTTAAAAATATTTGCTTAAATATTTATTTAGACGAGGATTTTAAAATATGTGATTTTATCTAAAATTTTTTTTTCTTGTCAACTTTTTAAAAGTAGATATTTGATGTATTTTTATACCCTCCACTATCCTATGGAGGGTATATTAATTTTGTCATTCCGTTTGTAACTTCTCGAAATACTCATGTCAGACTCAACAAAGTATATATATTCTTGATCAGCGTAAAATTATAAAACTATGTAGCCATGTCCGTCTGTCTATCTGTTTGTCTGTCTGTATGTCTGTCCGTCCGTCTGTCTGTTGTAATCACGCTATCATTCGAACAGATTGAGATAGAAGGCTAAAATTTTGCACACATGTTTATTTTTCCAGTAGGCTGGTTAAGTTCGTAAATGGGCCATGTAGGTCCACGTTTTCATATAGCCCCCATATAACGGTACCTCCCGATATTTGGTATTTTGATGATTTTAGCGACATTATTCACCGGAATTGTTTCAAATTTGGTATTTGAAGTCCGTAATGGATACTACACCTTAAGACAGTAAATTATCTGTGCAGGTCCACGTCTTCATATAGCCGCCATATAACGGTACCTCCCGATATTCGGTATTTTGATGATTTTAGCGTCATTACTCGCCGGAATTGTTTCAAATTTGGTATTTGAAGTTCGAAATGGATACTACAGCCTGAGACAGAAAATTGTCTGTACAGGTCCACGTCTTCGTATAGCCCCCATATAACGGTACCTCCCGATATTCGGTAATTTGATGATTTTATCGTCATTATTTACCGGAATTGTTTTAAATTACGTATTTAGAGTTCGTTATGGATACTACAGCCTGAGACAGAAAATTGTCTGTACAGGTCCACGTCTTCGTATAGCCCCCATATAACGGTACCTCCCGATATTCGGTATTTCGATAATTTTAGCGACATTATTCACCGGAATTGTTTCAAATTTGGTATTTGAAGTCCGTAATGGATACTACACCTTAAGACAGTAAATTATCTGTGCAGGTCCACGTCTTCATATAGCCGCCATATAACGGTACCTCCCGATATTCGGTATTTTGATGATTTTAGCGTCATTACTCGCCGGAATTGTTTCAAATTTGGTATTGGAAGTTCGTAATGGATACTAAAGCCGGTGACAGAAAATTATCTGTGCAGGTCCCCGTCTTCGTATAGCCCCCATATAACGCTGCCCAATATATTCGATATTTTTATGATTTTAGCGTCATTATTTACCGGAATTGTTTGAAATTACGTATTTAGAGTTCGTTATGGGAACAACAGGCTGTGACAGAAAATTGTCTGTGCGGATCCACGTCATCGTATAGCTCCCATATTACGGTACCCCCGATATTCGGTATTTTGATGATTTTAGCGACATTATTCACCGGAATTGTTTCAAATTTGGCATTTGAAGTTCGAAATGGATACTACAGCCTAAGACAGAAAATTATCTATGCAGGTTCACGTCTTCGTATAGCCCCCATATAACGCTGCCTCAATATATTTTAGCGACATTATTGTTTCAAATTTGGTATTTGAAGTTCGTAATGGATACTACAGCCTAAGACAGAAAATTATCTGTGCAGGTCCACGTCTTCATATAGCCCCCATATAACGGTACCTCCCGATATTCGGTATTTTGATGATTTTAGCGACATTATTCACCGAAATTGTTTCAAATTTGGCATTTGAAGTTCGAAATGGATACTACAGCCTAAGACAAAATTATCAATGCAGGTCCACGTCTTCGTATAGCCCCCATATAACGCTGCCTTAATATATTCTATATTTTGATGATTTTAGCGTCATTATTTACCGGAATTGTTTCAAATTACGTATTTAGAGTTCGTTATGGGAACTACAGGCTGTGACAGAAAATTGTCTATGCTGGTCCAGGCCTTCATATAGCCCCATGTAACGGAACCTATTATATATATTCCGTATTTTGATGATTTTAGCGACATTATTCACCAGAATTGTTTCAAATTTAGTATTTAGAGTTCGTTATGGATACTACAGCCTATGACAGAAAATTGTCTGTGCAGGTCCCCGTCTTCATATAGTCCCCATATAACGGTACCTCCCGATATTCGGTATTTTGATGATTTTAGCGACATTATTCCCGGGAATTGTTTCAAATTTGGTATTTGAAGTTCGTAATGAATACTACAGCCTGTGACAGAAAATTATCTGTGCAAGTCCCCGTCTTCGTATAGCTCCCATATAACGCTGCCTCAATATATTCTATATTTTGATGATTTTAGCGTCATTATTTACCGGAATTGTTTCAAATTACGTATTTAGAGTTCGTTATGGGAACTACAGGCTGTGACAGAAAATTGTCTATGCTGTTCCAGGCCTTCATATAGCCCCCATGTAACGGCACTTCCCGATATTCCGTATTTTGATGATTTTAGCGACATTATTCACCGGAATTGTTTCAAATTTGGTATTTGAAGTTCGTAATGAGGTTTCTACAACCTGTGACAGAAATTGTCTATGCTGGTCCAGGTCTACGCACAGCTCCGATATGACGGTACCTCCCTATATACGGTAATTTGACGATTTTAGCTACATTATTCACAGTTTATTTCAAGTTTCGAATTTGAATATAGTAATGGCTTATGACAAACAAAGCCTATGTACGTCCATGTCGTATAGATGGGATTTGAGGTGCATATTTTTAAATATTTTTGTACTTCTCCGAAATGTTTTGACCATCACTGTATAATTGTTATTTTTTCGGTTGTTTCTTTTAGCTGAGGATTTAAAGCCTTTTAAAATACAAAAAAAAAAACTCGAATGTTGGAACGTAGATTAAAGCCAAAAATTAGATTAACCAGTTTTAGAAAGCATTTCCAAAAGAAAAAAAGGGGTAAAGAACGTAACGTAACAAAACCAAAGAGAAGAAAAAATGTTATTGTTGTTGGAATCGCTTGTTTTTAAAAAGAGAGCCATTTGCTGAGTAAGAGCTTAGAGAGGTGGGTAGTAGTAGTAGTAGTTAGGCCTTTCGGAACCTATGCGCACTTACCATTCTTGATGCTGGGCTCACGTTTTATGGAGGGCGTTTTACGCAATGTTTTCGTTTTGAATTCGGGTTTGGGCTCTTCTTTCGGTTCCTTGAGTATTTCATCGACCTTGGGCACTTTCTTGAGCACCGGTCGTATTTTGAGAACATTCTCACTGCTCTTACTGGGCAAGGGTTTCTCTTCGCGCTTGACATGCCTAAGTTTGGGTTTCTCTAATTTGAAACGTAATCTACGTTCGCGATCCTCTTCGGTTTCACCTTCGACGGCTTCGTCGTCGTCATCGATTTTTTTCATCGACTTATCACGTTTGATGACAACGGGGCGAAGTTTGGGTTTTTCAATGGAAAAGCGGCGTTTTAACTCACTTTCTTCTTCGTTGTCCTTTTTGGTGGTGGGGGCGGGAGTTTTGCTGGCAGGGGTGGCGGGTTTCTTGACGGCCGTTGAGGGAGTGGAGTTGGGTTTGTTGTTGTTTGTTGTGGGTGTGGGTTTTTTGTTTTTGGAGGTGTCCTCTTCTTCGGATTCTTCTTCCTCGGATTCCTCTTCCTCGGATTCCTCTTCTTCGGACTCTTCTTCTTCCTCGGATCCCTCTTCTTCGGTTTCCTCTTCCTCAGTTTCTTCCTCCTCCTCCTCTTCTTCTTCTTCCTCCTCGGAAGAAGATGAGGGAGGTGTGGGTTCCTTTTTTCTGTTCAATGTGGAAACTTTGGAATTTGTGCTTGTGGCTGAGGGTTTCTTGAGCGCGGAAACGGGTTCTTTCTTGATGGCATTGACACCAAGTTTCTTGGCCGGCTCGCTGACCTTATTATTGGTTTCCAAGGGCTTTTTGGGTTCAGCATTGTTTGTGGAGGTCTTCAAATTTGTGGGTGTTTTCTTCAAAATACTGTTGCTAGTCGTCGTTGTGGTTTTGTCGTTGTTGGTGTCCTTGGCCGAGGAGGCCGCTGCCAGTTCGCTGGGCTTTTTGGCCCAGGGCACTGAGGTCTTGTTAACTGGCTTCAGCACAGAGCCACCATCCTCCTTGACCCATGGTGGTCGAAATGAGCTTCTGGTGGAGGATGGTGTCGTCGTTGTTGTCTTGGGGGCAACAAAGGGCATAATGTTGTCTTGTCGTAGTAGTAACTTGTCGATTCGGTGGCGGTCTTTGGTTTCTGGTTCGTCTCTCTATTTTACTCGTTTAGACTTCGTTTTCTGGGCAAAAAAATTGTTTTTCTTTGGTTTTTTGAACTCACTTATGAAACATATTTTCACTTCACTTATTTTTCGAGATTCGTTGCAGAATTTTTTTTTTCGTTATCTATTTTTTGGTTCAAAATTTTATTTTTCATTCACTATTTCGAGAGACTACAAAAAATTTTATTTATAAAAATATATTTATTTTTTATTTATTTTTTTATTGCTAATTTATGTTCGTTTCGTTGGCGTAAAAAAATTGTGATTTGTCGTGGATGGAAAAGAAAAAAAGAAGAAAATGAAAATCTGTGGCTAGGAATTTTTCTTCAACACTAATTTCATGAATTGCTGTGAATAGCCTCATAAGTGAAATTTTCCCTGTATTTCCTTTGGCTAAGACTTGATGTTGGTGTTGTTGCTGTTGTTTTTGTCATTTCATTCCATTGTGGTATTTTTAGACGGGTGAATATGAACAAAATATTAGCATCAAATATTTAGCCCACAAACACATTTCTTGGCAGCCATTCGAAAGACAGACGGACACGTCCAACAGACAACGACGAATTTGTTTACGAATAGCCCCAAAAATGATCACCAGAAACAAAAACAGAATTACACATATGTACGTACATATGTATATATTTTAAATATATATTTATTATATATATAGAATTTATCTTATTTATGTACATATATATATGGCTAAGTGTTTCCTTTTTGTTTTATTATTGATCGCAGAGGCTTCGCCGTCATGACGTTGGCACATATCTAAATATATATTTTTATATTTTTCAATATAGAGGTAAGGAACAATTTCAATACGACGACATACATGCACATCATCTATACATTGTACAAATACTAGAAATGCAAACAATTGCTCATCATTTTATATTTATACATGTTATTTTTTTTTGGGGGGATATACGAAGATATTTTATTTGCAAGGAAAGGGGCTTTCTCACAATTTTTTTCCGTTATCAAAATTTTGATTCAATAGATCCAAATTTAAAATTTGATTATGCCAATGGACTTATGTCGTTTGGACAATTGGGAAAAGTTCATCGACTTGTCTAGGTGAGGAAAATACAAACGTTTTATTTCAAAAACAATTTGATCGGAGATTGAAAAAAAATTGGAAAAAATTAAAAAAAATATATATATTTTTTTCTAGGATTACAAAAATACATTTTTCAAGGACTATTTGAACATGAATTTAAACATTGTGACTAGCTTTTCAGTTGAGGGCTTATAAGTCTCTTTCTATTTTGTTAAGGGATTTTCAGAGGTCATTGTTTAAAAATTGTTTTATTCAGGATTTTTAAAACATTCCAGGCGTGGATGTTTTCGGAGTACTCTGCTCTTGTGACTTTGTTTTCCAATATTTTTTTTTTAAGGACGCGGATTTTTTATCGTTTGATTTGGAAGAAATCGATTTCAGAACATTTGAAGTCGTCAAAAAATTCACAGAAAATGAAGGATCATCCAGCTTTGCTCCAACTTTGCAAATCCCATTATTTTTGTCAGTGCTTGGTTATGTGCGAAAATGGACAATAACCTAGCATTGACAAAAATATTGGGATTTGCAAAATTGGAGCAAAAATACCACAATGGAATGAAATGACACCTCCTATTACCTCCCTCACAAAGGGTAATTATAGCAACGCATATGCAACGCATAGCATGCGAAGAAAGAGTCCGATTGCCTTAAATTTTCGCATATTCCAATATTTCTAGCAACCCTAGGTCTGATATGAAGATGGGTTAGATCGGACCACCTCTTCTGGTACCTCCCCCACTGAGGGTTAAAAATTTTAAATAATCGCAACGCAAATTTATTGTGAAAGAAGAGCCCGATTGCCTTAAATTTTCGCATACTCCAATATTTCTAGCAAGCCTATGTCTGATATAAAGGTGGAGAGATCGGACTACATCTTCTGGTATCTGCCCCACAAAGCGTCGACATTTTGAATTACAATCAACCACAAAAATGTAATATATTTTTATCACTACAAGAGCTGTTGTGAATGTGGGATTTTGTGGCCCATTGCTTCTGATACCTCGGATACAAGGGGTCAACATTTTTAATACTTAAATGTCTTATTACATTCGAAACTGGTCAGCGATTTCCTTCAAACTTCGTGCATCTTAATATTTCTATCTACCATCAATTTTAGGAAAATATGGGATATGTCGGTTCACTCTTTTTGGTTCCTCACCTAAAAAAGGTCGACGTTTTCAAAAAAAAAAAAAATGTTCCAATATTTCTACTGATCTAAGATCTGGTGTGAAGATGATGGAAATCGGCCCACACCTTCTTTTTTAATTTTGAATATCTACGAAGCTCATAAAAAGCGAAATTAACGTCCGATTCCATTCCATACTTGGTACATCTCAATATTCTAGCAACCCTATGTCTGATATAAAGGTGGGGTGATCGGACTACATATATTCTGGTATCTGCCCCACAAAACGTCGACATTTTGTATAACAATCAACGACAAAAATTGTAAAATAAACAATCAATTTTATTTTTCAAATTTGGCACACCCTAATATTTTTATCAACACAAGATCTGTTCCGAATGTGGAATTTTGTGGCCCGCCCATTGCTTCTGATACCTCGGATACAAGGGGTCAACATTTTTAATACTTATATGTCTCATTACATTCGAAACTGGTCAGCGATTTTCTTCAAACTTCGCGCATATTAATATTTCTATCTACCATAAATTTTAGGAAAATATGGGATATGTCGGTTCACTCTTTTTTGTTCCTCTTTTTTTTTTTTTTTTCAAAAAAAAAAAATGTTCCAATATTGCAACGGATACAAGATCTGGTGTGAGATGATGGAAATCGGCCCTCACTTTCTCTTACCTCCCCACCAAGGTTCAAAATTTTGAATATCCACGAAGCTCATAAAAAGTGACTCTGGCATCCGATTCCATTCCATACTTGGTATATCTCAATAATTCCATCAAAACAAGATCTGTTATAAATATGGTAGAGATCGGAAAATTTCTTCTGGTACCTTCCCCACATAGGGTTCAAGATTTTGCAAAGCAAAACGCTCAAAGAAAGCGAAATAAGCCTCCAACTCTCCTCAAATTTCGCATATACAAACATTTTTGCTAATACATGATCTGTTGGAAAGCTGATATATATCTGCGAATTCCTTCTGGCACCCCACCCACAAAGGGCCACAAATTTCAATACTTTTATCTGTCATAACTTGCGAAACAAGTCAGCGATTCTTTACAACTAAATATTTCTCTCAACCAGAAACCTAAGATGAATACGGAATTTCGCATAAAATTGGATATATGATAGTACTCGTTGTGGATTTGATAGTACTCGTTTGTGGATAAAAACCTCAAAGGAGAACCCGAACTTAGGCCAAACATTGCTAAGGCCTTTATATAATTTTGACATTTTATAAAGGTATTCTCAGTTTGAGATATATTTCGCAACAGAAAATGGGTCATATCCGTTCTATTGGAACGGGAACGTCGAATATCTTTGTAAAACATTAAATGTACCTTTAATCTGGCATATTTTCTTTGGTAAGATACCAGATTTCACGGCACTGGTAAATTCCTCGTTCTTAGTAAAAAATACCCAGTCAACATTTGTATACCCTACACCACAAGGTGGTCAGGGTATTATGTCTTTGTGCATTGGTTTGTAACAGTCAAAAGGAAACGAGATAGACCCATAGTTCCTTTTAATGATCTGCATAGAATCACATTCTGAGTCGATTAATGCATGTCCGTCTGTCCATGTATTTTTGTAAACAAAGTACAGTTCGCATTTATTGCCCGATCCAGATGAAATTTTGCACAAATCATTTTTTGGCCCAAGGACGAACCCTATTGGAATTGGAGATAATCGGTAAAAATTTAGATATAGCTCCCATAGATATCTTCGTCCGATTTGCCTTTTATTGTGCACCAAACGTGTAATATCAGCCCGAATAGTATGGAATTTTGCACATACGACCAAATTAGGCCTGAAAATAAGTATGCCAAATTTGATGGAAATCGGTTTAGATATAGCTATAGCTCATATATATTGTTCATCCGATTTGTTATTTTTGTCGTTCGCAGCTGTAATATGCATTCTGTAACAACAATATTTGGGGAAATATATCAATGGCAGCTCAGAAATACCTTTACTAAATTTTATCTAGATCGGTTCAGATTTGGATATAGCTCCCATAGATAACTTCGTCCGATTTACTTTCTATTATGCACCAAACGTCTAATATTTGCCCAAATAGGATGAAATTTGGCACTTACGACCGAATTGAGTCTAGAAGCTAGTATGTCAAATTTGGTGAAGATCGGTTCAGATATAGCTATAGCTCCCATATATATATATTGTTAATCCGATTTGTTGTATTTGTTACCCATAGCCGCAATATGCACTCCGTAACAACGATATTCAGGGAAATATATCAAATACAGCTTAGAAATATCTTTGCCAAATTTTATCGAGATCGGTTCGGATTTGGATATAGCTCCCATATATATCTTTATCTGATTTCAAATTAATTTTGCACCAAATGGGCAATACAAAAGCATGTTTACGTTAGAAGTTTTTTCCGGGTTAACCTTGTTTATCAAGATTTATTTGAGGTATATTCAATGGAATTGACAATTTAAACCGACAGGGTTTTCTAAATCCTCTACAACGTAAACGTACTACAAGTCCGAATTTAAAATATACAAATGCTTCGGCATATTTAGTCCTTTGAACTTGAAATTAGAATTATAATCATAGCGTGTATGATTGAATTCTCCCATAAAACTTTTAATGGTTATGTGGAGCTCTACTAAATTAGCAAAGTGGTGTAGGGTATCATAAAGTCGGCCCCGCCCGACTTTAGGACTTTCTTCAGTGTTTTTTTTTGGAAAAACAACCACACACATAACCATAACCACACACGTTGATACTCGAGGACATTTGACCCAACAAATAGTAGGCGATCTTGATTTACAGATTTTTTTTCATTTGTTGGTCTGGCACGTGAAAATGAACCCAAATGTTATTAAAATCAAATGGAAAACAACCCTTCTTTTCAGTACTTTCAAAATATATCCGAGAATAATGATTTTTTCCCTTGAAGCTTCCTTCTATCGAAAAATGTCTACAGCATTATCCTGCGAACTG